TTGATAATCTCTATATATCAGTAACAACATACCATGCCATTCATTACTCTTTTTTGTTTGCCATTTCTTTGAAAATTAATTAGGATATAATAACAGTAATTAATATTATTTATTATTATTCATAAATAAAGACCATTAGTTGTTTATTTTTAAATGAAGTGATCCTGTTTCAGAACAACATTTGTTAATTATAGGATTCGCTTTCTTTTTTTAAGGAAAAAAAGAAACACAACAGGACGCTCTCTATTTTCCCCTGACTGTACCGTTGATACAATTTTAGTATTATTTGTTAATTTACTTCGGTTTTGTTACTTATTTCAGTTTTCTAATTGGTTACTGCTGCTTTAAGTAATAAATCAGTCTATTAACCATCATCGTCTACACCTATTTAAGTCATATATAAACCGATATGCATATTTGTAAAACAAGGATATTTCACTATTCTTTATTCGATCATTTTGTTTTCATTGTTAATTTCGTGTAGCCTTCCTTTTTTGGAATGTATACTATTTAAGAAATTTTATCATTTAACTGAAGCATTTTCCCTGTGTATAATATTAAAAAAAATTCGAGTGTTGACCTGCTCCCCGCTTTTTCCTGTTTCTTGATTACTGTTCTGTCAATTTAATACATATTATTATTATTATTTCTTCAATTGATTTTATTTATTTCTGTAACCGGTGCTTTTGGTTTTCCTTCCCCCTTTTATCTCTCGTATTATCTTTTAATTGAATACATTTTCAGCTTGACTATTTAAAGGCATCATATTCTACTGTGTGACTTCATATTGTGCATACGTCTAATTATGGACATCCAATCACTCCTGATCTGATTGTATGCCCAGTAGTCATATAACTGGTATATATATATATAGGTTAGTTAATACTTTTTCATTTTCTTTCCCATTCTAGATTTTCCCTTGACATCACTTTGTGTGAATAGGGAAGTGGTTCTCTCCTCTTCTGTATCCATTCTGTTTCTAATTTTCTATACTGCTGCGTTTTACCCCATCATCTTTCATTACCAATTCAAACAATCCAAACTATTTCATCATAATCGAATAATAAATAATATTTGCAATACTTAATTTCTTTCATTCTTCTTTTTTTTTAAGTCCTTTTGTTTGTTTCTATTGTCATTGTGTTTTTTCAAACTTTTCGTTATTCTTCTTCCTTTTTCACCACGTGGTATATTTAAAAATGATTTAGTTAAGATATTTTTTGTATAATCTATGTAAAACATATGGATTAGATGAAAGTCATTTACGCAATATACACAGTGTAGTAGCCGAATTGGTTACTTAATTGACCGAATAACTGATTCATTTTCACTTAAAGATAGACAAATATATATAAAATCAATATATGAATGGTTTTCATCTAGTTTCTTTTAACTTTTCTACATTTACATGTATAAGATATTGTTTTACAAATTCATTATTCCTGTTGGTCTTAAAGGAAATAACAATGATTTTATTGTTTGTGGTATTTATTCTCGTTATACTTTAGAAATGATTTGATTTCGTAAGAGTGTATGCCCATTATCGAATGAATTATTATCATTGCATAGTCGTAGTTTTCTATTTGACCACGTCATTAAATTATTTATGTATCTGATTGATTGTAGCTCTCACTATGCTGTTTTACATTGCATAATCGAGTCTTTGTTAAACGGTCATGTTGGGTGTACATACGTATGTCGCTTTTGTGTTATTGATGAGCCTGAAGTGAAAGTTCACTTTCCATTCGTACTCTCAAATTGTTCATCTTTAAGTAAACTGTTTGTCATTCAAAATAAACTACTTCAGTGAGAAAATGATAAGTTTATCTGCGTTTATCGTACTAGGCTTAGAATTAAAAAAAAGTGACACTAATTTTAAATCAGTATTACCATTAGAATTTGGTGTAAATATGTTTGGAAAATGCGAATTTTGTCATTTTTAAAGTCCGAGGCATTCTGTGAGTTCCTCAAATATAATAATCGATTCAAAAAAGCAATCAACAGTAAACCTTAAGTTTACTCCTCATCAATTGTATAATACTATTTTTACCCAATATTTAACAACACTAAAATGATTTTCTGCTCCGAATTTGACATTATCCTTTATCACTAAAGGTATCTAGATTATCACCTGAAACATCTTCCTAATGAGAGCAATTTGTTACTGTGTTTTGGAAAGTGGAATTCATTGAGATTTTTCATGACGTTCACTTATTAGAACGGAATTATGTTATTCGGTGCAAAAGCTCGCATGCTGCACAAAGTGACTGTCGTTTGAGGACTTCGAGATTTTTACCTATTTTAATCACCAATAGATAGTTCTTTTAACACTAAAGTATCAACTAGTTCACTATCATGTTGCAGATTAACCACTTGCATTTAACAGTTAGATAAATATTGTGTTTTGTCATCCTATTCCATGTTCTTGTTTATTACCACAACTCGAATATCGTAACTCTATGTAATCGATTGGTTGTCAGTGCTCTTTACATGCATGCATATGGTCTTAAGTAAATTGAAAATTCACTAGACTTAAAACCTGTTGTCTAATAATTGAAAATGAAATATATTGCTTGTTCTGGACGCTACAGATTGTGAACGTAACGCATGATAACTTGATTGATCATTAGTCAACTTGGGTATAAAATATTTGGTCATCATTTTCATTCACTACTGATGATCATGAAACGTTTTACTAGTTTCGTTCTGTTTATAAATTGAACTTAATATACATCAAGCATTCGTTAACAAAATACTTTTACATGCATAGTAGTATGTAAAATCCATTGTTTTCAATCACTTAATTTAAAAACATTGATGACCACGAACACTTTTCAATCTGTGTTAAAAATAATTTATTATTTAAGATTCACTGTTTAGAATGTATTATTTCCCAAAAGAATTCTATTCAAATCAGACAATGATTGATTTTTCTAATAATTACCATCCTTTCATTTTCAAACGGACGTACTATCGAATTACGAGCCAAAAAACACATTAACAACGACTGATTCATAAATATACCCTAAATGATTCATATGTTACTACCGTTGAAGTAACTGCTTCTATGATTTTGGTATTCATCATGTTGTGCTAACAAGTTATGGCAATTTGGACCGATGCATGTATGTGCCTTGTCTTACGTTTTAAGTGACTGAATCTCTTCAGTGAATCAGAAATACTTATATTTTGATATTACCGGTATATGCAACTTGTATTCAGATGATTTCCCTAACAGATATGTACTGATTTATTCTCAACCAACGGTAACTGCAGATAATCTAGTTTGACTTGCTTATTCTACTTATTCGGAAATAATCTTACAGTCAAAACTTTATTAGAAACTCAAACCTAACTGCTTAGTTTCATTGACCACTAAATATAGAAAGAAAAATATATAAACCGTTAGATGCTGACTCGTTTCAAAACGGAAAGTTCCAAGTTCTGTCTCGGGTAGAGTCATGAATTCAGACTGCTAAAGGATCCCACTTAGGATGAAACAGCTGTTCAGTGCATCCTAGATTTCAATAGTTATCTAATTAACTGGAGTCCGTGATGTAAACTATCAAACTTACTATTCACCCCAAACCCTTTGTACTCATAAAAAAATTGTTTATTGATGAGTTTAATTGACAATAACCAAACAGCATCAATATCTTTTAGAAATGTTACACTTTGACAATTGTTCTAGAAACCAGGACTCTGTAACTCATATCCTCTGATACTGTTTAAAATAATTTCTTGTTTGAATAAAGTAAGGGCAGAATAATATAAATAAATATATTTCGTCAATTCTCTTTAGACGCTTACAACCATATTTGTACTAAAGTGTAATATTGAGTATAATATGATACGAAGTAATAGATATTAATGACAGGAAGAACAACAATGTGAATTCATTTTGTATTGTTTGCTTGAATTTTCCCATTGATGTTTGGGACTGAAATTGATCAGTCTCTTATAAGCATATATAGATCCTGTGCAGATTACCTCAATTTTGCCTTAAGTCACAAGCATTGTAAGCAAAGACGGATGGTGGCTAACAGTGGAATCATGGATGTACGTTCCGTTTTAACACAGAGGGAGTGAGGCAATAATTAAGTGGAATTTGACAAGACGAATTGTGTAATAATTATAATGAAGTTGAAGAATTTATATAAGCTTTAAGGACTAGGCGAGTGAAAACACTGAAAAATGGAAAGTTAGGTTCAATATCTATCAAATAACATTAGTTTTAGGTAAGACTGAATAACAATAAAAATAGTTAAATGTAGCTTTGATGAAAAATATGGATTTACCTAGGCAATAATAAATTAACAACATTTTTCTTTCTGGACACATAAGTTTTGTATGAGTTTCTGCTTTAACGAAATGAAGGGAAGCTGGGTTGGTTTGTTGATTATTTCGAAGAATAGATGAACGTTAATAATATACCCGCTGTCAACTATTACAGTATTTAAAGCAACTCCACCTTATAGTCTCAAATTCTTTGAAATATCTAAACATATTTGTTACAATTTTTGTTATATCTATGTCCTAGAATGAATCAATGTTTCTTTATTTACTATTTTTAGATAGTATTTATATAAAATCAAATAACATGTGTTTAAATCATGCAACGAAGTTAAACTGTGATGTGAATTTTATGTGTTTAAATGTACTGATGACATGTTATGTAACCTCTAAATACTATTTATAATTTAAGTTGCGTAGCTTTGTTGTACCTATTGACTAGATTGTTTGTATAGAGAAGTGAAATAGATTATATTTGATACAGTTGAACTTTACTAGTCATGGCTTCTCACTAGAACTCTGAAAATTACATTCGAGAGGTATTTATCAAAGTTCTAGTAAGAAACCATGACCACTGGAGTTCAACCATGCTAGGTCTGTGGCAGTTACTCACTATAGATGATATTTTCTCAGAGAAAAGTTTATGTTGACAAAGATAATTTGATTTACTTTTTCATCGCCTGCTGTATTTCTTAATACTGAGTTATGTTAGATAGAAATGAGTGAATATATTAACAGTTTGTTTGAGTTAGTTAATTTAAGAATTTGTCTTTGATTCAATATACCTTTCAACAGATTATCCACTAATGGGTAAATAACACAAGCTACTATGATTTTCATCTATTTAGGTCATTCAATAAACAACATTGTCCAATTAGCAAGTCACTCATAAGTATCACGAACAACTTATTATTTACGTAAATATAAACAAATATTTTATGTCCAATTATTAATCGAATATTTTATTCGCTTTTCTTTTAAATTTCAATAAAAGAATTTCTACTCCCATCATATACAGAGATATTCATATAATAACAATAGTATGTAACCATGGTTTCCGTCGATTGACCTTCGAGTAACATCGGTAAATTTTCTGTAAATAATAGAGAGAAAGTATAAATTGAATTGTTCATTCGAATTTCAATTAAATACGTTTATATGAAAGTATACTGTATTATATTTGATAAATATATATAAAAAATACATTAAATATAATAATATTTAACTTTTCACAGTCATATTATTCACTTCATCTTTCATTAGGCATAGTTTGCATTTTCATTTAAGATTCTTACATACTACTAGTGATGTTACAAATTAAAACAAAAAAGTTGTCTCATTAACTACTGGCCTAACTGTTGTTACATAATCAAGTAAACGTATGTAATTTGCAAAACATGATTAGATTGTTATTTTACTTACATTTAATAGTAAATGTCTATCCAAACCATACTTACATTCATAATAATAGCAGCTATGGTGTAATCGACCAGCATATAAATCACACTACTAATGATAATGATCATGATGATGATGATGATGATTTATTATGGTTACAATGGAAAAGTTTACATCATAAAAATTATTCTACTCATAAAGAGTATAATGAACATCGTGAAAATTGGTTGTATAATTTACATTCTATGAAACAACATAATCTAATGTATGATAAAGGTTTAGTATTATATACAATAGGATTAAATCAATTCTCTGATTTAAATTGGAGTCATATAAGTACAATATATTTAACAAATTTAAGTCAGTATTTAAATAAACATAAACAAAAAAGTCAGATGTTATTGAAACAATCTTTAAATGAAACAATATTAAAGGAAATACCAGATTCATGGGATTGGAGAAAAGTAGGTGCTGTAAGTAAAGTTAAAATACAGGTGAGGTTTCTTTTATATGGATTGTTACTGAATTTAATATTGAATGTACGTTCAATTTTTATCGACTGTTAAAGTTATAATTCTTAAATTACTCATAATATTATGAAAGTCATGACCAGTGGAGTTCAATCTATGTCGGATGTGAGACAGTTATCCACTTTAGAAAATGGATAAAGAGTTGTGCAAAATCATGGATTGATTGAAACTAGATATTCACACCGTTGTATGCTGTCCCAATGGTCTAGAGGTTAAGATTTTGAGTATAAGACCAAAGGTCCTGGGTGCGGAATCATGGATGCTCACTGCTGAGGAGTCTCATACTAAGACGAAACGATCGTCTAGTGTTTCCAGATTTTCAGTGGTAATCTAGCTTAGATCGACTCATGAATTTAACTGTTACAATACTGTAATCTCTACAAATCCCTATACTGATAATAAATAATTACACTGATGTTTCGTCTTGTTACGTAACAAGAATGTTTATCGAACAGAATTTAATTAAATGAAGCAAGAACAAATATTGATGCAGAATAGTATGAATTCATGATATTTCGAGGTTTCTCGTCAGCTGCTTACAACCAAATAATACATAAATCCGGTTTAAGTTTTTTTATCGCGATCGCTTCAGTGAAACGGAGAGCAGTCGTACTTCTTTGTCTGTTGATAATTTTAAAAGCGTGAGGGATGTCGATGGTACGCCCGGTGTCAAGTAAATGCCAGGCTATTGCACTATTCAGAGTCCTAGTCCTTCGCAGCCTCAAGTTCTTTGGAACATGCTCAGAAATGCGAACATGCACTTTTCTTTCAGTTCTTCCAATGTATGTGCTTTGGCACGTACATGTGAATTGGTAAATGCAGTTGGAGAATTTAATTAACAAAGAATTTTTTAAGAAACTGGGCATAATTATAAAATTAAAATCAAATTTTACATTGAAAAAAAGAGTTAATGGAAGGCAACTGTAATGATCCTAGAAGTGTTTCACCTTGAAGAATATTCATTTAAGAAGGAATATTCAAATAATATATCAAGGTGATAACTAGTTAAAACTGACATTTACAATTAGAATTTACTAATGAAAGAAACAATTTCCAACAAAATATTTATTTATTTTTGTAATTTATACCTCATAGATTGTGACTAAATTATTTCAGAAGGGGTTTTAATAATTTTATAGTCGAATTCATGAGTCAATTGAAGCTAAATCACTATGGAAAACCTGAAAGCACTGCACGGCCGTTTTGTCCTAGCATTGGGTCGGACCGTGGATATGCACTGTTGAGGAGTCCCATACTATGACGAAACAACCGTCCAGTGCTTCCAGGTTTATCATGGTGGTTTAGCTGCAATGGACTCACGAATTCAACTATGAATTATTTCAATCGATAGCATAAAATGGAAAATAACTTTAGAATCGAAATGTGATTATGTAATGAAAATAATCCTGAAAATGTGGAAATACATTTTTCTTAAAAGTGATATGATTTGGAAAACTGTTAAACAACCTTTTTTTATTTCAGTTGATTGCATTAAAACAAGTATTTTATATATTTTGTTATATCCCAATGAGTAGGAAAATTGTATTTCTAACGTTTCGGAACTTCACGTAAGCCACTTCTTCAGAGTAAATAAATCACCGAAATTAAATTAACCCCATTACTTCATATTACAAATGCATACGCTTTTCATACCCACATTTTGATACACAAATTAATACAGTGACAGGTCATACAAATTCACCTTGACTAAGAATAAGTTGACATTAAAATACATGCATACTCACTTACTTACGCACGTTACCCCCAATAGAGCATAGGCCACCGACCAGCATTCTCCAACCCACTCTGTCCTGGGCTTTCCTTTCTAGTTCTAAGAATAAGTTGACATTAACATATTCAGACCTATTATGATTTTGATTGTAACAAGAATATTCTGTATTGTTTCATTTGTACTATTTAAACTTATGTTAATTCAGTTATTTGCTTACTCTGAAGAAGTGGTTTACATTAAGTCACGAAACGTCAGAAGCACAATTCTCCTACACATTGGAATATAACAAAAAAATGTTTATTATTAACTCTCTATCCAATACTCAATTTATTTGAAACTATCAAGTCCAACCTTGGTATCGATACCTACAGTTGTCTTATTAGTTAACGTACAATATAACATTTTCTCATTTAAGCCACAGTTTCTTATTACTAATTGTATACTTTTAAACTTGCGTGGAAATCGTGTTTGGAGAGATTAATAGATAAAGAAATAAGAGATACTGAAAATACCTAGAACTGTTAACTAGCTTTCAGATTTATATACATAAAGGTAGTATATTATTATTACTTATTTTCTCTTCATATTTATGTTTTTGATGAGTGAGATTTTCTGTTATTATGTTCAGGGTAAATGTGGTGCTTGTTGGGCGTTTTCAGCTGCTGGAGCATTAGAGGGACAGTTAAAAAATAGGACTGGTACTTTTGTTGAATTATCACCACAACAATTGATTGACTGTAGTCATTCATTTGGTAACCACGGCTGTTTAGGCGGTGATATGAATAATGCATTTCGATATGTTGAAAAAGATGGAATACAATCAGAAGAAAGTTATCCTTATTTGACAAAAGTGAGTATTTTGTTTTTTCTCTCAGTTTATTGTTGTTTTAATATATATCAGAAAAGTAAGTTCACATAACTGTTTGAAAAGAAAAAAAACTATATTTATCGCCAACAAATGGTTTATTTATCGTTTGACTAGTGAGTAGACAAGGTTAGTCAATATCACTAACAATAGTTCTGAAAAGAGAATTTAATCCTTAATTATACTACTGTAAATGACTTTTAGTAGTTATAACCAAGTGTAAAAAAGTTACTTCAGAACAAAGCTATGTGAGTGAATTATGATGTATCAAAAGTCGTTAATCATTACAAGTAATTGAAGTTGCTTCATTAGTTTAATTTTGTCAATTTTATTGAAGAATATAGTTTAAAATCATGGGAAAAATAGTTCATTTGAGCATTTAGAAATAATTAAATACAGCTTATCTTCGGCTAAAATTTTGTATCATCACTACAAAGACTTTTTGTCATACGATAATATTCTGTAAAAGAGAACATAAATAGCTGAATTCAATTTGCGGCGAGACTCTAATTTATGGACGACCTTTGAACCAATCTTAAGTGACCCTGAAAAATATTAGCCAATCAGAAAACAGTTTAAAGTAAGAATATATTGTAAAAACCAAAGAGTGAAAGTGGATACACTTCTTTGAAAGAGGCTCAGAGGTTCTGAAATCGTAGTGTATACAGTAGAGCAACTCATCCATATGGATCCATAATAATCGACCTCTCGAGTCATGATAGGGTCGTAAGAACTCATTTAGCCTCGACCTCATAGCTTCAATATTGTTTGTGTGCGCTCCTGTTGTAGGGTCCACAAAATGGCGCTTGTGGATAACGACTTGATGCACATATTCAAGTCTATTCAGGTATAGGTAGGCTCTTTAATCATCCGTGTATATTGTGGTTCCCGGCTACACCTTTTCCCGTATAATTGGTATTATTGTCGTTTCTGACCCTTTAGAAGTGTCCCTTTCGGGTTGATCTGTCGTAAATTCCAAGTACCTGTGAGGTATATTTATGGAATTGCTATTTACCCAGTCTTTCTTAATACTACGTCCTCTGTTATATTCTCGCTTCCGGACTACTGTTTCGTCTATTTCAACTATCTTCCCAACTCCTCCAAACGGCTCGTGTAAACTTGTCATTTTCATTGCATATATATACCTGCAATACTCATACCACTGAACAGATAACGTTTCAGTAACGTCTGAAAATGTTGTAGCCAGTGTTACTGGTGCTTTTGTTATCCAATTTGCAACAGTTATCATGATTTGTCTTAGTCTCAATCGGGATCGAGGGAAGAAAGTTCCTGTTCTAGCAGACTTCTTCCTCCAACATAAATAACATCGAACGACAATCTCATCACGGTAATCTGAACACGGTACAGCAGTCATTTGATAACCCCAGTCACAAATAAAGGGTCTTCTTAGTAGTCCCATCAATAATCACGACTTCTCTAAAATCCGCTGTAAGTGAGCGTCAGGTACTGAAATTGGCACCGTGACTTTGAAATCTCTCAAGCGCTTCTGATTAGCTCGTCCATAAATTAGAGTCTCGCCTGTACTCATTGAAGGCTAATACAACAATGAATATACATTGTTTCCCTCGAGATGATCATCGATGTTTTCTGGTATCTAATTTTAGTTTAATTAAACAGTGGAATAAGTAAACAGGTAAGTAAATGAATTGAATATCAAAAATACACTTTTCAAGATTTTGGACAATGATTAATAAACATTTCTTTGATCTCATTAATGGATTATTACTATACTATTCAATATGTTCTGATACAATTTGCTTCTAAGTACATGAAATAAATGATAAATATGATTTGATCTCATCCAACTATATGCCTAAGTGTTAAAGATTTTTATTTTATATCAAGACTTTCCTATTGGCAATTGTTCCTTCATAAAAATTTCCTATACAGTTTACCACTAACTTTTGAAATCTGATAGAAATACTCTTTCAATACATATACTCTGCCATTTAGTTCATACAGTTAAAATTCATCACCACATAACAAATTAATCCATAATTCTCGAACTTTAGTGTTGATGTTTGCTGGACAAGTAAAATCGTCAGAAATATAATCTTATGGTTATTCGACTAACAATAGATAATGTATGTAAAAATAGTTATACTATTTTTAAATTGTAATAGTATGTTTCTGTCTAGTAACGGACAGAACAAAACTGAGAGTCAAAAGAATAGAATAACTGTTTAAAGTCAGTAAGCAATAATACCTGAAATTTCGGTTTATATACTACTAGTTATATGTGTATTCTATGATTGGATTTCACCATTACTGCAAATTAATACTCATACAGATAGTCTTATCACAATTTTTCATATTTATATTAGGGTATTTGTAACTGAATAACCTCAGATCGTCCGGCATATTAGACATATCATAGATACTGAACAAACAGCAGCTGACGTTAAAGTAAATGAAAAATTTCACATGTTACAAAAGTCCCAGTTTTTTGTTTTCTCATTCAAAATTTATACACATACAAATTGATCTTGGTCAATACCTTGGTGACCGATTTACCGTTGATACTTGTTTTAATTCCGCAATCATATTCACGGTTAATGGATAATGAGTATCGGAGTGAACACCTGCTTGAATGCAGGTAAATCTAGCTGATTAGTCTTAAATAGGATAGAATGTGTGTCCTGAATTCCATTAATAGCCTCATCCCATCTAATGTAAATTGGCTATTTCCAGATAATCTACACAGGATCCACATAAACCAAAAACGAGAATGATCAGAGTATCAACAATGGGATAATCTAAACATTCTTGATACTCTTTGGCATCTTTTATTTAGTTACAGTAATAACTTGATAGTTCAATTAACTCAAGTTTTCATTTCTAATTTTCAGTAGTTACTTTAGTGAGCCTTACTAATCTCATATTTATTTTATTAAAACTTCTGATCATTATCAATTAATCTATTCAAGTGATCACCAAGAACTAATATCATCATCGTTAGATGTAAAATTAAGCAGTAACCTAAGTAACTAAAATTTAAATAGTTCTTATATCTACTCTGTTAATCTAGTGCAAATTTCTTTTGGAAAATAATCGAAATCAAACTTACCAAAGATAAATATGATCAGAAATAATTATATAATAAACGTTTATCTAATCATATTTAAATAGTGCCTGCTTGAATATCTGGGTTACTTGTTCCTGCCATCTGGATATTTCAACAAGTTATCTATTTTCTTATTTGTTTCAACCCACCATTATGTCTGTTAGTCTCATAACCTATTTACGTGTGTTTATGAAAAGTTTACAACATTTCGCTGTACAAGTTACAAAACGGCCCAATTAGATACATCGCAGTTTCTGGCAATATGCAACAAAAAGAATACACATTATTAAGATGTCGATTCCTGGACTACTAGTATCTAACTGGCGATCACTCAGTATTTATTGCAAGGGTCGATCAAGAAATAAGAAAAGGAAACTTAATGAAATACTTTGCGCTGAGAATTTCATATTGTACCAAAAATATAATATTGTATAAAGCCATTAATAATAATAAGTATATCGTGAGAATGAATCATTTAATGTTAAATATGTTCATAATAAATGTATTTAAATGTTATCAAAACCCAACGAAAAAGATGAAACATTTGTCTACATCTAGCATTAGATAAATAATTCCGTTTATGATAAAACTGAAAACATATCTACTTCAAAGTAAGCTAGTCAATGTATGTCTTATTAGATAAATGGGTAAGATTTATTTTTGTTTTAATGTTAAACTAAAGCAACTAGAAATAAATTCAGACATAGCAATCAATGAAATAGATTACAATTACATTGTTGCTAACATCAATATTATGGTAGTACAAACAGGAATGAATGTTCAAGGTAATGTTTTTTTTTAAAAAAAATTCAGAAATCAATTGTTAGAAGGATTTATTTAACTAAACTCCATCTCATTTGTTGATATTTTTAGGTTTATGATTATATGTAGAGCTTTAATTAAGGCAATATCGAGGCATACGCACAGTATGCACATATGCCAATAACAGACTGATCAATTGCAGTCTTAAACCTCAATGAGAACATACAAGCCAAATAATACAAAGTGAATTTAAATTCACCCCATTGCACAAGCAAGTGGCTATAAAGACTCAGTAGCTGAGTGGATAATGCGATGGCGTTTGAAGTGAATGGTACTGAGTTCGAGTCCCAGAGTGAACATCAAATCTGAGATGCAGGTACATCCAGCTGACGAGTCCCAACTAGGACGAAACGCGCGTCCTGGATTCCACAGCTAGCCACTATCCATCATTGCTTACAAAAAGCTTGTGAGTTAAGGCAATATCGAGGAATACGCACAGTATGTATATATGCCAATAACAGACTGATCAACTGCAGTCTCAATGGGAAGATACAAACCAAACAATACCAAGTGAATGTAGAGTTTTAGTTGTTAATTTTTCTTCATATGAGACAAACGTTTCAGAAGAATTTTATTTCTATAACAAACTATTTGATGCCCTGTTTCTGTTGATTGTAATGTTACCGTTAATCTGTCGTCAAGTAATCCAAGGTATTCCGAGGATCTAGGAACATATCCCAAACAGTAATTGTGTCCCTTCACCCTGATATTCATTTGATTATATGCTTTGGTATTAAATAAGGGAATTTATTTTTTGGAATCACATTTCCGGTATTTATCACTGTAAATATAATGTTGTTATTGTTATGAAAATCAACCTCTATATCACATCTATTTTTAATCATTCTAATTTTCTCTGTTGTTTTTTAACGTTAAGATATGACTACAGTGCGAAATTGAACTCTCGGGTATACATCTCCATTTCATTTTGCTTTCACTTATAGTTACGTTTTTTATAAACACTTTAAATTCATTGTTTACTCTGAATACAGATATGGCCAAGTTTAATTTAACCTGTTTGTCGTTTGTCTCCGTGAAAAGCTGGTGACATATGTTTATCAGATTTTAAGCAAGTATGATCTACTTAGATAGATCATGCATTTACTTGAAATCTATTTATTTCTTTAATCCTTTCAATTTTTGATAGACACTAGTTTGTATATCAACAATCAAGAAACACCAGTTAGCAGTTAACAGCTTTCATCACTTTAATAAACTTGATACTATTGTAAATGATGTTTATCAGATCAAATGTCATTAGTATATCTTAACTGAATTATTGTCGCTATTAATATGATAACCTTGTTATTCGTGTTACGTAATGACTACTATCACTTTCATTTTCACAACACAAGGAGTTACACGGTGTTCCACTTGCTCGAGCTCCCCCTCACTGTAAGGAAAATATATGTTGAGTGGTTTTGTCCCTATGACCACCGTACATTATATCGGAGATCACGCAAAGAAGCACCTCTATCCGGGTGCCTTGAGAACCAACCAGATCCCTCTGAACCAGACCACTGCCCACATTCCAATCGTCAACGGCAGCAAAGAGGGAGAGTTTAGCCATTACCAGAATCCGGCATAGGTAGCCGAGCCTTGCATTAGCCGTTTGTCTTAGCAGCCGATAGCCTATAGTCCCCGCCATCTTTGTGAAACCAGCTGAATCATTCGAGAATCCAAGTTAAGCTAGAGGATCGATCTAGTCACAAGAGAGGACTCTAGAACTCACATTTTACCATGAGGCCAACTTCACGTACCCAGCCTGACGGGGTGGCCACCATACTCCATAAACCACAACAGACCAATAAGCCAATGCAGGTGAGTAGAAGTCAAATATAGCCGAAAGCGCTCATATACATTTCTACGGCAAGCACCACCCGGATACATAACAGCTTAAGACCCTTTTTGTTACAGGGCATCGACGACATTACAAGGGGAACACGTGCCTGGCAAGAACCACGATGAGGTAGCCACCACAGCCACTGTCATCCTCTAAAGAACTACGTACTGTAAATCAGTTGTCCAGAGTTGTAATAAGTGTACATATCACTCTTGAGGATCTAGGGTTCAAGGTATGTATAAACTCTAGAATTCGTCGTTCATAAGGATCCGCCCCGAAAAACCTTAGATGACGAGGTATTTAGCTACCTTAAGAGAGTCATAGTTACTCATCTAGTTAATAATTTATGAATTAATCTTTTTTCTTCATTCTACTCATTACGGAACTCTTACCTGATTGGTGGGGCCGTACTACATAAAGCTAAGTTCGAAAATTTATTTTACACATCCTATTTCCTTTGTACTATTCTATATAGATGTGCTCCAGCAAGAGTAGTCAATTTAAATTTATTTCTAAATTTTACAATTCACTATAATAATGCAAATTAAGAGGTTTTTTTTATTTTTGCGTAACTCAGTATGTAACTAATGTTTACATTTTATTCTAAGTAAATCAATGATAAAATGAAATGCAATATATATTTTGATAGTGTTTTGCTCTCTGAGCTGGACTCCATCAAAATCATCCGCCTAAGTTATAAATCTTCTCCACCATCTCGATATACTATATATTTTCTTTCACTACTTTAATTATTATTATTATTGTTAAACATACTACTTATAACATCAAATTCTAAAATCAAAGTTCTACTAGTATTTATTAAAACTCATATATCCAGATTAAACAACTACCATCCAGTATAACCATATTTATGATTTCATTTTGTAATGTTTTTTTTTCTTGGTAGTAAATAGGTAATAAATAGGTCACGCCTATATTAAAACAAAACCTGTACTGAATAGGATATAATCTTAACAAATCTATTTTCATGTTTATAATTCTAAAAGTAGCTTATTTCAAAGTACTTTGTTTAATAGTCAATGTAAGCTTTTAAAATCTCCTAATGAGGGCAATGTTTTGACTTTATTTTTTTGTTGTTGAAATAAGTGTACAGTTTTAATTCATTTTTTGTATTGTTTGTTTGATGTTAAGAACTGAAATTGATCAGACTATTATTGGCATATGTGCACCTTGTGCGGATTACGTTGATATTGCTTTAAGTCACAAGCATTATAAGCAAAGATGGATGTTGGCTAACAGTGGAATCTAGGACGCACGTTTCGTCTTATTTGGGATTCGTCAGCTTGAAGTACTTCTGTACGGGCAGATGTTCACTTCGACACTCGAATCCAGTATCATTCGCTTCAAATGCCATCGCGTTATCCACTTAACTACTGAGTCTATAAAGCCAGTAGCATTTGCGGTGGGGTGAAGCGAACGATAGTGGGTTTTAGTGTCAGACTGAACATCGGCCTTAGGATAGAGATACATCCGACTGAAGAGTCCCAAACAGGATAAGGCATGTGTCTTGGACCCCGTTGCTAGATACCATCCATCCCTGCTTAAAAGCAATGACCATCTCTCCGATATAAAGTTTGGTTAGTCGACAGTATAGTGAGACACATTCAACTCACTTGCCCGAGTTGTAACTAATATTCGTCCAGATGACTTCAGCATATCACTATAACATCAAGTAAATAGCAACTTGAAGACCATTATCTACCTTAAAAGTCTCACCGACCAAAATACTTTGAAGTGCCTTGACACACCCATCATATATATATAGCCCTTCAAAGGCTATTCTCGACATTGATCCAAAAAGTGAAATTACAAGTAATACTGAAGAATTCCCATAAACATTGCATGCTTTAACAATATGCCGAGATTAAGATGAAAAGTTAGTTTGCTATCTGTTACATATCTTATTTTCAATTTCATACAACTACGATTGTATCAGTTTGGCAACGCTCTCCATTATAAGCCTTTGACTCTGCATTAACTACTGTAAAATCATCGTAATTCTATGTTTGGAACTATTTCCTACCATATCACTTTATCTAAATTGGCTTTTTACTCACACAATATAAGCATAACAATATTATTCTACTGAGCGATACATTTAAGTAATGAATTTATCTTTTTCAAGTAGGTTTATAGAAAAATAATCAGTTAAATCAGATTCCATTATAAAATAAATGTTGGGAAACGTCGTGAATTGTAATGAACCATATCAGAAATATGAAATTATTTTCTATCAGCTATTATTAATACGAAATGGAATTGGGTTTAATATTCTTAGCAAATAAACGTGCTTTTACTGATAAATTTTTGACCGTTAATTTAAACTTTAAAGCTTCAGTGATAAATTTCAATTCCAGAAGAAGAAGAAGTCGTATTCAGGTTCTAATAGCGTCTTAAACTATACTACCATCGACTACGAAATGTAGAACAGTGTTTTTGCCTCATTGAATCTAGTCATTCAAGGCATTTGACTTGAGTGAATTTCTGGGAGAGGTCAGACACTATATTTTGAAGTAATTTCGAAAGTGAATCGTTTACACTTCAACCAACCAGATATATATATATATTTCGTGTGGTGCTTCAGTGTTTGTGTATTTCACCTCTTAAATATAAATCGGTTACAAGGTTGTGCAAAACTGACCAGATTTTATGTCTTTAGCTGATGAGTATTAAAATTATTCCTGTTACGCAGAGCCTACACATATCATTAAAGCGCTTAAGTTTCGTGTAAGTCTAAATGCTTTGTTTCAATTTACCGTGGGAAATCATCAAATACTTGTTCGGAATTCAACTTTAATCTTTTATACAGAAACTCATTTTCTCAACCAAGTAAGTAGTTTATTAAATGGACAACTGTTGGTTAGCGAAGCACAACATAACAAAATGATCATTTAATCTAACTAGATAAACAAGTCTCCACCACTTAAACACAATTACATTCCCTTGCATCAGTATATTCGTCTTCACTTCTCATCTAGCCAAGTCTTATACTTTACCGAAATATAAACATATGATTTATCAAGCAACTACCTTTCTTTATGTAAGTGTATTATTATTATTATTTGAACACAAATATTGGTACAAGAGGCACCAAATATATATGCGCCATACAAAACAATGGGAATTTGAAGAGGAGAAGGAAAAAAGGGGAGGAGCGTAAAAAAAAGAACAATGACGAACAGAATAAGGTAAGGTAGCGTAATAATAATAATAATAATAATGGGGGAAACGAAAAGGTACAATCAAAAAAAATCTTTCAGTTAAGGAAGAAGCAACCACCCTTTATGAAGAAAGTAAAAGGTTACAGCAGGATCGCCACTGGCTTCTATTCTGAGCCATATCTGATAACGTCTCTAGCGACTGTGTTGCACCATCTCTCGGACCCCAACCAGGGAGTCGTGAAGTACCGACACAAGCCAGCCCTTTGTAGATTTCTTTCATACCACGACACCATGTCATACACTGACCACCTTTCCGCTTTTTCCAACCAGTCCCAGAGTCAGCAAATAATGCACGACGTGGAATTCTCTGGGACGACATTTGTAAGTGACAGTTTGGCATACTACTATACAGATTTCTAAAACTAATAAATGGTTATTTGAATGAATAGTTTGACAAAAAAGTACATAATTTTGACTAATACACAGTTATTATGGTGATTTTGGATTATGAAAAATCATTTCACTGCTCATTTGGTTGGTTTGTATTTGAAGATCACGTAAATGCATATCATAAACATCTTATACGAAATGAATTTAAAATAAATATATAATGTTGTTTTGTTATTCACATTTTAGGAAGGTAAATGTCAACATATTAAATCATCATCATTAACCTACTCTAAATCAATTATAGAGATTAAACTCAATGATGAAGAACAGTTGAAGTATGTTCTATATGAACATGGACCAGTTTCAGCTGGCATAAACGTAGAGCAACAATTTATGAGATACAAGTAAGTCTTTGCAGGCTATTTTTATATAGCTAAATAGAATGAGAAAAGATGTCAGTAAATATTGGATGAATCTAAGCAACTCATACAAACAGTCAATGGATAATCATTAAATTAAAATTATCCATGTTGTTTTATCTTTAATGAAAAAATAAATTCGTAAAATGTTTTTGAACGATAAGAAGGCAAGGCGTTTTACAGACAAATTGACTAATGAAATGTGACGATACTTCAGAACACTAGGTATTATCATCTGAAGACTGAGACAATAGTGACTAACCATTATAATCTACATGACGGTATATTCGAAGCAATTAAGGTTTAGTGACTTGAAATTACCTATCTTGGAAGTCTGATCAGCCCAAATGCGTTAGTCTCTGATGAAATTTCTGCATGGATTCAAAAAGCTTGTTTGGCTTTTGCTAATTTATTTCACCTATGGCGAAGGAGAGATATCCGTCTGTCAATTAAGGGACGAGTATGCTGTACGGCAGTTCGTTCTGTTCTACTTTACGACCGCGAAACGCGATTATTAAAAGTAAGAGATACTCGTAGACTACTAGTATTCGATCACAGATGTCTCAGAAATGTTGCTCGCATTTAATGGGATCACCGGGTAAGTAATAGTGAGGTTAGACGCAGAATATTAGAGAATCATGGTAAATCAGTTGGTGAGGTTGTGAATCTTCATCGACTGAGATGGTTGAGCTACGTGTTACGTATGCCTGAAAACCGATTACCACGACGCGCCAGGCTGATTAGTGATGGAGATAGTTAGAAGAAAGTTAGGGGCGGCCAAACCAAAACGTGACATCAGTGCTTGAAGTCACTAACTTTTAGTGTGAGCCATGTTGGTAGATGCAGACTACTTGGTTGGGGTCCGCGTGACTATCGTAATCAATGGTTGGAGACTCTGGGTGACATGAGTCAGAATATGTCACAAACGTGTCGGTGTATACACTCTTTGTCTTCCCTTAAACCGTGAGATTAAAATTACTTTATACATTTCTTTCTACGAACTAATTATTTCTTCCCGTACTATATCCTTATACACAACCTTTCTCTTATACATTACTACCATTGAAGTAATTGCTCCTATTAATTCAGTGTTCATCTTGTTGTGCTAATGAGGTATGACAACTAGGACCAATTCATATATGTGCCCGGTCCTACGTTGTAAATGACTGACTGAGTAAGTGACCTCAGCATCAAATGAGAGTGTCAGTAAGCTATAGTAACAACTTCAACAGCAATTTACCGTAATGTATAATCAATGTACAATAACCTTACAGTTTCCAACGTAAGTATTAAAACAGTTTATTGACTTAATTTGATGAGAAGAATCTTTCCGAAAACCTACACATAAGGAAAAGAGGAAATTCTCAACATAACTTCAACTTACTATAAAGTATGTTACAGTTAAGAAGTTATTAAATATTCTCATCGAACCGACTATTGTTTTCTAAGAAAAAAATGATTCTATAGTGGCTTGAAGATAATAGGAAATCATAAGTTTAAAATGGTTAATACATGAGAAATATGAGAGTTACTTTACATGTAGTTAATTTAGAAAAAACCTAAAGCAAGAAAAAGCATTTGATAATGACATATTCCAATGTAAGGAAAATTATGCATTAGGACCATAGTAGAATAAGGGTATAAACATTTTGCACATGAACATAGAGTTCATGCTTGATTTGATAAAATGCAAAGTAAACTGCTGCGGATGTGCCCACGTTGAATTATTTTAAGCTTTTGTGATGCATGCTACTTATATCTATCGATATAAGTAGTATGTAACACTAATCCGAAGTGGAAAACCTGGAAGCAGAAGGCTAAGATGATCGAGTTTAAGAGAACATAAAGGGAAATAGAAACGAATTATGAACTGGAAGAACCATACGGAATATGAAGGACATGTGATGGAAGTTTGCTTATGAAATATTCAGTGTGTGGATATCATATTTTACCAAGAGACTCTGTTATTTCCCTAATTCGGACAATATAAGCATAACTATCTTCATTCAAATTCACTGAGAGCGCATGATCAATTAGAGTGAGAACGATATGATTGTTTGTTTAAAAATGATATTATCATCGTCATATCGACCCATAATGCGTTACTGCTCTACTTCCTTGAAAAATAAACTGAAAATTACAATTAATATATTACTTTGGGAATCTTAGGTAATTGAAAAGGAAACATAGTCGATTTTTTAAATTTGAAGTTCAGCAGGACTTTGAGAAATTATTTTTAATTAACGTCTATTAAGGAGGTAATTTTATCTCTTTTTAGGAACGGCATATATCAATCCCAGTCTTGTTCGTCTACAGAAGTTAATCATGCAGTTCTGATTGTTGGATATGGAGAAGAAAATGGTGTACAATACTGGATTATTAAAAATAGTTGGGGGACATCATGGGGAGAGGATGGTTATGTAAGAATACGTCGTAATTATAATAACATGTGTGGCGTAGCAACTATGGCAAGTGTACCGAAGCTATAGATACACCTGTTAAATTATCTAAATAAACAGTAAGGTGTTGAGTTGATTCTTTGTTTAATACCGGGAAATTTGTTGCTTGCGTTTATCCGAATACAATAATCTACAATCACAAAAACTACTAATACTACAAGGTTCAAAATATTCACTGTTATAAGAACATTGTTTTATGATAATTACGGTACATCATCTAATAATATGCCATATTTGTGACAGTAACCTTGCTCCCATTCCCAAATTTCAAAATATCTTTAGAATACCTGAAAACCAGGCTCTTTTATTACTATTTTTACAGTTCCCGTGACTGCATATTTTCCATTCAGTTTTCATCATCTTTGATGAAGTTTTTAATTTATTTGAAAGGCCTATTACCTTCAGCGCACTGTTATCAAAAACAGCACTAAACATTTCATGAAATTCCTGAGCATTTCTTTTCAAGTTTCACCAGAATTTTATTGTTGATTGAATAGTTAGAAATCATGACTTCTGGAAAATTCCAAGTACTTTGATCAGAAGAAAGACATAAATGTATTGCTACAAATTAGTATTTTAAGTAAGATAATAGTTATATAAAAGAGCTATATAAAGAGTTATTTTATGACCGGAGTTCTCGTATGTATTGGGCAGAATAGTATACAAAATTTTTAAGATTCTACGCATAAGAATAATCATTAACTGTTTTCAATTTATCATATCTTAAACGAAAAACAAGTGAATTATTGGCGTTACTTTTCATTGATATTGTGTTATCTGACTACTGATAATCCTTTCACCCTTCCTAAACTAATTTTATAGATAATTATTTCATGTAATTATGTTCGTATCATTTTATTCGTATTAGATGGTACATTTTCATAGTACACTCATAATTAATATTCACAAAAAAAGGAAATATAATTATTCGTGGAGTAAATTAGGAATCTGGATCAGATAGAAAAGTATATTAATAAAACTCTGCAAATTAATATTATTCAAAAAGTTGAATTCACGAGTCCATCTAAGAGAGACCACCAGTGATAACTTGGAAGCACTAGATGGCCGTTCTGTTCGAGCACAGGACTCCTCAAAAGTGCTTACCCACGACTCCGCACACGGGGTTCAAACCCAGGACCTAAGGTGTCACACGCTAACACTTAACCTCTAAACCACTGAGTCGGCATCGAACGGTGCTGATGTCTAACTTCAGTCAATCTCCACAAATCCCTATACTGATAACAATCATGTGCTTACTAGTGACCAGCTTCAAGATGGATCTCCCGGAGTTCTAGTGAGAAGCCGTAACCAGTGGGATCAAATTCGTGTCGGGTGTGAGACGGTTATCCACCTCAGACAATGGATGAAAGGTTACGCGAGATCATGGATTGATTTAAGTTAGACAATAATACCGTTGGATGCCGGCTCAGGGGTCTTAATGTTAAGCGTTCTCATGTGAGACCGAAGGTCCTTGGTTTGAGCCCTGTGTATGGAGTCGTGGGTGTGCACTTCTGAGGAGTCCCAACGGTTAAAATACTACAATTTCCACAAATCCTCACAATGATTACTTAAAAGCACTTCTTCATGTAATTGAACTGAATAAACTCAAGTTTAGAACCTGTTTACTTCCCACAAGTCGATGTTAATAGTTTAAAAAAAATTTGTATGCTGGAACAAAAACATTGTTATGTGAACCAATAAGAAATAACTTAAACGGAAATCGAATAAACTGCTTTGTCACTGATATTTTATTGGTGTAGGAATTAGTTGCAAATTTTTGACATTTGTATTCCTTAGTTCAAAAACTTTGGTTTAGTAGGAAACTAATAAATATGACACTTTCAAAGACTATCAAAAAGATTACTATGCTTCATGATTGTGTTTCATGTGAACAGTCAGATTGTGTGCAACCAGTGTGCAGACTTTTACATTTACTCCTACGTTGACAGGAGGCTGTTGATGATTAGCTGAGACTTAGAACCATAAATAGTAATTTTACACTGTGTTCACTTTAGAAAGGGCGTTAATGATAGCAGTTCATGTGGATGGGATTAAAATTACCTTTAAATGATCAGAAGACGACGAAATTTCCATCAATTTTTTCTCTTTGTGATTGGCTTAGTGTCATAGTCCAGAGACTGATAATATAATGCTTCTGGCCAGGAAATGATCGCATTTTATGAATTCTCAGATGAAGAGTACCAAAGTGGCAGTCTCGAATTCTGAGTAAACGCGACCTGAAAAACTCTCAACTAATGTCATCGCCTAACAGGCTCCACTAAGTCTCGAGAAACAGTAAACTTGCATTGGTATTGTTTCTCAATTGCAAAACCTTTGGAACCAAATATACATGTGAAGTTTAGAAGTATTCGAATCAATGTACTAACCAGAAGTTCCTGAAACAGTGCAATTTAAGTCAGACATAACTTACTTCATTGCTCCTGTTAGCCCTCGTTGACGAGCATAGGTCGCCCACCAGCATTCTCCATCCAAATCTGTACTCCACTCTCCTTTCCAGTTGTTTCTAGTTGTTATTCATCTTTTTGATGTCAGCTTCGGATTCCCGATGCAGTGTGTTCTTTCGTCTCCTTTATTTCTCCTTGCCTTCAGGATTCCAAGTGAATGCTTGCCTCGTGATGTAGTTTGATGACTTCCGAAATGTATATCCTACCCATCTCCATCACCTTTTTCTAATTTCCTCCTCAGCTGGAAGCTGGTTTGTTCTCTCCCATAGTAAGCTATTGCTGATGGTATCCAGTCAATGGAAATTGATTATCTTGCGTAGACAGTTGCTTATAAATACTTATACTTTTTTATGATGGTTGTGGTAGTTCTCCAAGTAGGACTCTCTTGACGTCCGTGTTGAAGATTGTGCCTTTGATGTTGGCTGACAGTCATTTTGAGTTCCACATGTTCTTCAACTATAAAAATGCTGCCATTACTTTGGCAGTCATTACCTTGACATCCGCAGTGAATCCACCTTGTTCATCGATGATGCTCACCAGGTATGTGAAAGATTCCACCTCTTCCAGAGTTTCTCCGTCACGTATGATTTGATCAATGTTCTCTGTGTTTTGTTTCTAGATCTTGATTTTCCCCTTTTTTTATGTGCGGCTTAGTGATGCAGGGGCTTTTACCAAACTGGTTGTCATGACCTGTATTTGTTTGTGTGTATAGGATAGAAGGCTAAGTGATTTGCGAAGTCCAAATCGTCTAGTTCCATCCAAGCTATCCATTGTATTCCATGCTTTCACTGAAATGTGGAAGTTTTCATTAACCAATAAATCACCAGAAGGAAAAGAAAGGGAGAGAGTAAGCAGCCTTATCTGATACTGTAGTTAACAGAACACGAGTGGGGACAACCGAATTGTATTTAGAGTTACTTGGTAAAATAGAAAAACCATATAGCAAATCGTTAATTTGCAAGTTGCATTGTGTTCCCGCCCTTCCGTTATTGATCTTTCCTCATCTTCTGCTTCCAGACAGTACGTTTTTAACTCGCGTCACATACTACTTATATCAATATAAGTAGCACACACCACAATACCAGTCTTTACTTAGGATGAATTTGTCAGCTGTCCTCCATGAACGTCTTTGCAGTATGAATTCCAAAGGATGTTAACTATTTTCTCTACTACTCACACTAAAGTTGGAGGTCCCATAATATTCTCCTATTCACTCTTTCAAACTCTTCCTTCTAGTCAGGGAAGTTGATGTACAATAACGAATTCCACTAAGTGATTATTCAACAATGATCCGTAGTGTCGCCATTTGGGCTGTGCACAACCGGTCCTTAGGAAATCCGGTCTTCTGATCTGTAAGCTGGACATCTACTTAATCTTTCATCCGGTTTAGTAACACTGCTGAAGATGTCTCCTGGCACTGAGAATAGTGTGATGCCTCTGTAGTCTTCACGTTTGCTCAGATATCCTTTCTGTGGTATTTTCATTAGGCATCCTTCTTTCCAATCTGTTGATGGCACTTGTCCATGCTCCCAAATCTTCCTGAATAGAAAGTGAAGCATCTTTGCAGTTGCTCGCATGCTTGACTTTAGTGCTCCAGATAGTATATTGTAATTTGCTGCTACTTTCACATTCATGATTTGTCTGATGACCTTGGTAATTTCTTCAATCACCGGTGGAGTGACACCTACAGGTATTTCCGCGTGTACTGCATCGATGTCCGGCGGTTTCAGTGGGACTGATATACTTTTAGTGGCCCGTGGATCTGACTCCTGTTTAGATTGTATGGATGTTTGTTATCGCTTATTCTCGTATATCATCGTCGACTTGAATCGCGTTATCCAATAACGAAATTAAATAAGTCGAATAACGAGAATTGACTTGAGAATACATATATTTCGTACATGAAGCGAATGAAGCATAGCAAAGCAAAAATGACACGTATGGAAGATGGCTGGGAAGCCAACTCCAATTCAAGCCGGGCATTACTGAATATTTATAGGCAGACAAAATAAACTACAGACATGTGATGAGTCATGGGACATGAAGTGTACACACACATACGCTCATATGAAAACAGTCAAGGCTAATAAGCGAATAATTAACAAGGTCAAAACATGACTCAGGTAGAATGAATAGAAATTACCCGACTTAATTTTTTTGATGAATGTCTCAAGTCATGCCGTTTCCCACGTCAATTCTTAAAATGTTTGCGCTCATGTAAACTTCCACCTTCTCTTAAAAACCTTCGACGCATCACAAAATCTCACATAGAATCTACAAAGTTACTGGTTGAACGTTTGAGGACAGAAACTAATGCCTTTGATGAATTAGTTAACGGTATGAGTATCGTATGTCGCATAAAATTTATCAATTTTATCCAAGCATTGCAAAACAAAATAAGCAAGAACTTCCTCGTAACTTTGTCCAAGACTCTATCAAAGGAACAACTTTGTTTTGGCTTCCCAGAAAACCCTGAAAATTCCGTCTACAATCTGTCAACAGTGAAGTTAAATCAGATAGAAACAGAAGCCTTGTCTCTTGGATTTAAATTTCATATCCCCAAAACACATGCCGAAAGAATCGACACAGAAACTCAATTTGAGAATTTATTTGATCAAATTAAAGAGTTGCACCCAGTTAGCGAAGAAAAGAAAGGCTGGTTTAAATCTAAACTAGTCGATATCGCAAACCAATACCTCGTCTCACCCACACCGCAATCTAAGCTTTTATCCAAAGAACACCTAACAGCATTACGAAATATTAAACGAAATGATGATATAATGATATTACGGTCAGATAAAGGTTCAAGTGTTGTCCTAATGAACACAGCAGATTATGTCTCTAAGATGAATTCCATTTTGAGTGACCACACGAGATTCAAGTTGGAAAAAAGTAACAAAGACTTAACTGACTCCACCGAGAAAAGAATCACGAAAGTACTCAGAGACCTACTGAAAAAGAAGATGATCGACAATTCTACTTACAATAACCTACGACCTCGTGGGTCTCGTTTGTCCCACATGTATGGTCTACCAAAAATACATAAACAAGATAATCCTCTTAGATCTATTATGTCAATGGTCAATTCACCATACCACAAAGTTGCAAGATGGCTGGCAGATAAATTAGAACCACTTCGTCAACGATTAGCCACTTATACACTGAAGGA